CGTAAAACTAACTTTACCGCAGTTTAATGTGGCGCTATGGCTCTGCAGACATTGCACGTTGCTGTCTTGTTTTGTGGTGTTTCTAGTGTAAAATACTTCCACACAGCTGACATGGGTGCCGAGATGGTGTAGAGGCAGGGCAGCCGGCTTGGGACCCAAAAGTCCCAGGTTCGATCCCCAGTCACTGCACATCACGTGGTGTCTTTGGGCAGCACACCTCATCCCCAAAAAGCCTCCCGGGCGCTTTCAATAGCTGCCCACTGCACCACCTGGTGGTGGATGGGTTAAATGCAGAGACTAATTTCGCCATTGTATGGAAACATACAGTGCTGACATTGTGATGACATTATTATTATTATTATTATTATGTTTAGATGAAAAGTTGCTGTAGCTGGCTGCAAACTTTGAACTGGATTTCCTGAATGTGAGGCGGGTCTTATTACTCTGGGTTCATGAGACACGCCTCCGTTCAGGAAATCCATTCCATAGTTTGAAGCCAACCTGCAGAGCAGCTGGCTGGGAATCACATGTGGAGACGTTTTACTTGGAGGCAGACATGCATGATGGATCGGAAATTTCTGCAGGTTGGATCGGAAAAATCCGATACGTAAATTATGCTGGTATCGGAGGCCGACACAGATACTGGATCGGATATGTTTCCATACAATGGTGAAATTGGCTCTCTGCATTTAACCCATCCACCACCAGGTGGAGCAGTGGGTGACCTTTGGAGGTGCCCGGGGAGCAACTGGGGATGGGGTGTCCTGCTCAGAGACACCATGAGATGTGCAATGACCGGGGATCAAACCCAGGATCTTCGGGTCCCGGGTCGGCTGCCCTGCCCCTACACAATCTAAAATCAATAAACTGTAAATAAAACTTGTCTTGATCATGCATAAGAGGTTTGGGAGCACTGAGAAAAGTCTGTGCTGGTCTGCAGCCACACTGAGAGCAAGAGTGGGATGACCCCCACCATGGGAGGAGGGAGGTCTTAGTGAGTACGGTAAGCTTTTGGCTAGTATAGAAACCAAATACTTTTTTTAGTATTATTATTATGTTAAAAAATGAAAATGCAGTAACAGAAAGCACAGAATGTGTCCTCAGTTTAAAAATGCCATCCTGACTGTGATTTCTTACTGATCCAGTCCGATGTTCATGCAGTTTTAAAGAGCGTCTCTGTACTTCATCTGTTGAAACTTGGTGCTCCTGGTGAGAAAACATTTTGCTCTCTCTGCAACGTTTGTCCCTGCTGCGTTTGTTAAAGAAAGTCATGTTTAAATTGTGCAGCAACAACTGTGATTGCAAATTGCTCACATCTGATTATTTGTACCAGAATGTAATTAGTGCTATTTGCTTTGTGAATAAAGCCCTGAAAGTGCAAATATGTGGGGGCAAACAATCAAAAGCTGAAGCAAAAACTGTCTTTCAGTAAAATCATGCTTGTGCACAACATTTTTATAGTAATAAATTGTGGCACAATGATGGCTACTAAAGTAGTGTTAGTTTTTTTAAAGTAGCATCTACAATTGAGTTCAAATTTCAAAAACGCATGTAAGAGTGTAGGCCTTACCGTAGTCGGTCACCACCTGGCTCCTGACGAAGACAGTTGACCATTCCCACAATCCCGCTGTAGGCGTGTGAAGCTGTCAAACATATGGGCTGGTCTGATGAATCCGCCATCATTGCCTGTTCCAAAGATCCACACAGAACCAAATCAGTGAATGTATCCACAGCCGTCTGCACTCATCAATATCAGAATCAGCTTTATTGTCATTGCACCAAAGCACAACAAAATTACATTTCAGTACAGCCCGTCTGAGAGAAACAGAGAAATGGGGAGATGGAGGGGCCTGAGGCCGCCAGCCTCAAGAGGCGCAGTCCTTTTTTTTTTCAGATAAGGAAAATGAAACATGAGGGGGAGTGGAGGTGTTAAATTTTTTTAAATAAAAATAAAACCTCGCACTGTGTCCTAGACAGGACACAGTGTGAAAGTTACAAAAAAATGACCTCCGCACATGAAACAGCAACATGCTGATGACATCATAATACATTTATGCATGAAGAGGCTGACGCGGGCAGTGAGTTGTCCGTGGACGCTACCAGAAAGTTCCATGGTCCTGATAAAGATGGCATAGTGTATCAGCCGGCTCAACTGATACAGATCCACAGATGTCCTCGGGAGGGGAGCGATTGGGGGGGCAGAGCTTCTCATTTGTGTAAACAACCAGGAGAAGTTTGAGATAGCTGGCTAATTCAAGGCCGACTGGGGAAGCCAAATTCAGATAATTATTTTGGGTCAGGCAGACTCTGTTGATGTCCATGTCTGCCTTCATAGTTCTGCTGGTACGTCTCAGTGGTGATTCCAAACAACCAAAAGTTGTCCCAGGAGCCACAAGTGGTCTGTGATTCTCAGAAATCGTGTCTGGCTTACAGCTCAGCTCATGCAGCGACTGAGTCTGAGAGCTTACTGCTCGGTACATTCCTTCATACAAGGCGGGCAGCCTCACTGTTGCCAGAACTGCTGCCGCCATCTTCCGAATTTGTTGATATGCCAGATACAGTCAACAAAAAGCAGAAATCCAGTCATCATGAATCCAATTATGTTCTACATCCTCAACAGACAATATGGACAGACACACCATCTTCCACTGTCCCCAGGAATCCATAGTGGATCCAGCTGCAAGTGTCCCTTCAGGGCATGAGGGCTCTCCTTCGCCCTGTCTGCTAGTCGAGAAAATTTTATCAATTGCATTTAGAGACCAGCTGACCAGATCCATAATTTACAATTCAGAGGACATGTAGTGAGAGGCTCCGATAGGAATCACAAGACAAAGAGCAAAGCAGGAGGGAACGCGTCCTCGTTGAGAGCAGAAAGTGAAAATATTTAGGCCTTTAACATTATGTGTCTGTATCCTGATGCATGCTCAATAATCCAGGTAGAAAAATCCAAAAAAGTTCAATCTGGTCCTCTGGACATTCAAATAAAGACAAAAAACAAAACAAAGCAAAAAAAATGTAGAAACGTTTCGTCTCTCATCCGAGAGCTTCCTCAGTCTGAGGAGCTGTATTCAGCTCAGTCTCTTAAATAGCACCTTCTCAGAGTGGATCAACCAGTTTTGCTGCTGACAACCAAAACCAGCTGATCACATGCTCAAGAAGGACCATCAGCCTAACAATGGATCATTAGAAGGTTTTCCTCCCATTTCTCAGCCTTTTCAACACCTTTAAGCTTTTAAAGATTACCATGCCATTAATGAATGATAATGTCTTGAATAATCTGATGTCTAATCAAACATAAAATACATTATCTACTAATCGTTTGAATTTGGACATGTTCTAAACTCTGAAAATAGTAAATCTATGAAACTCACCTTGAGTTTTTCCACCCACAAGAAGTCAGTGCCATCCACAGGTAAGTAAACGGACGATTTTCTCTGAGACTTGAGGCGACAAAGAAAGAGAGCGGAGCCATAAAATGACCTCCTGACAACCACCAGGGTCAAGGAAGCCTCAGAAAACACTTTCTCCCACTCAGCCTGTAAAACAAACAAATATCAGCAAACAAGTCGACCTTTCACACACATTACTTTTGCTCAACTCAGAATTCTGTTTAGATTTGTATTAAACTCTTGTTTATTTTTCCATTATTGTTTTCAGGGCTCTCATCATAAGCTACACAGTTAAGATCACTGGTGGGCCAATGGTTCAGTTTGGTTTACTGAACTTTAATCCATTCACCTGTGTGAGCAGAACTGGCTGGTTGATGTTCTGAGTCGTGCTGGTGAGGAAGGAAACCGTCTCTGCGAGCGTCTCGCCCTTCAGCAAAGTGTGGAGGAGAACAAACCCTTGTGGTTTTGCTGCAGAAACCAGGTTAGACACCAGCAGCCCTGGGTCTGTCTTCAGAGGACCCCAGGCATGGTTGCACACCACCAGGTCTGCCCATGAGCCCAGTGCCCCAGGAGCTGCTTGAGTCTGAGAGCTCCACTGTGCTGAAGCAACAGCTAGTTCCTCCAGGACATCTTTGTGGGGGACTAGAAGATCCAGGTTTGTTGCTGTGGCTGTGTAGTCCACATGCAACATCGGCTGGATGCTGAGGAGGGGTACCACACGTGAGAAGAGCTGACCATCGTTGGACAAAGCCTAGCAGGGGAAGTGAGCACATTTTAAATCTATTCATCATTCAGACATCAGACTTGTAAATGTTTAAAAACCAGTTTAATACATTACTTCTACGACTTTGATCTTCCCAGGCGTACAGTTCTCCATGGCTAAGTCCAGACAGTGTCTGAGAGCCGGGTCATCTAACAGACCATGGAGCAGACTGTCCTGCAGCAGGCAGGCCTGCTCCTTCATCACCACTTGCTCCAGTTCAGAGTGAAGGTTCCCATTCAGCTCCAGGTCACACAGAACGCTCAGCAGTCTCACAAGGTCAGGACTCGACAGGTCTTGAATGGGTGGAGACTCATCCAACACCCCCTGTAGTCCAGGAATGGACAGCTTGACACCACGCTCAGCCAACTTCAGCTGGAGTCTGTGGATTAAACCTAAACAGAGAAAAACCATGCAGCTGTGGGTTCCATACCAAAACTGGACTCGAGTACGCATTACGCATTGAGACTCCCCGCACACACACACACAAAGTGGACTCTGAAACACACAGTCTAAATGTGTTGTACTGGTTGTGACTTCTCTACTCGTACATTTTTTTTACAGTCTGCAAACGTTTTTCATTGTTGCACCTTACACAGTTTTTATCTCTGCTGCTATAAAAACAGAAAAACTTTGTGCTGCTAACGACATATCAGAACATGTTTCTACCTCATGTACTACACATGTACTAATCAACACGTGTCTAGTTTTGTCTCTTAATTACTTGTTTAGATTAAAAAGTTTAGATCAGATCAGATGTCTGTATTTATTTATTGTTCCGTTGTATATCTGCACCGTGTGTTTTGTTTTGCACGTTATGTTCCATGTTACAACATGATCCTGGGGAACACCGTTCTATTTCGTATAGGCTTCGCCCTTTAAGAGCTGTCGCGATTGAGTTTTATCCCTTCATGCGAAGCATAACACTGAAAAGTTTAGTCCACGCCCACCTGCTGTGTGGGCCTCACCCGGTCCGTATAAATTACGTTAAGAGCGGGAAATCTGCTCCCATTTTTTCTTCAGCAAGCTAATAGCACTGTCAGAAGAATGAAGAAGGAAAGTTGTCCAGCTTGACCAGCACAACCTTTGCTAAGGCTGCCCGGGTCCCCGCCATGCCAACCTCCTGCCGTCCCGGTGAGTTCTCCCTCCCCGAGGAGAAGCAGATGAGCAGCCTTGTTTCAAGGTAAGCGCTGAGAATTTTTTTCCGTGGCAGGTCGCTACCGCTGGACGACACCATTGACCTGTTTTTATCGCCTGATCTCGGAGCGAATCGGATGGTTCCTCCGGGACAGGCGACGTCAGTAGCAGCCCCCGCTGCTTACTCCCTCCTGGAGAGCATAGTGTCGGAACGAGGGGGCTGAGCAGATGCTCACCCACTCCGGGCCTTTTTGCATCAGCGACCACACTGCTCCCTGCCGTCAGTGCCCTCCTCTCGGAGCTGGCTGGCATAATCCAGGAGGCGGCTGACACGAAGGGACTTTCCGTCCCTCTCCTCCCCCCGCCCAGATCAGATGATCTAGCGGGAAGGTTTGGCTCTACCCCGGCTCGCCGTCTTGACCCCATCTGGCCTCGTCTCCCAGCAGTGACGTCTTGCTGGAACGAGGCTACAGTCGGATCTGGTAGGCTGAGAGCGCCGGTTTCCACATTCGCACCCATCACCAGAGTGGAGGGTTTACTGTGCGGAATCCCCTCTGTGCCCCACTGGAGCAGAGCCTGGTGGAGGCTCTCGGAGCAAAGATGTCCAGGTTGGACCAGCGTCCTGTGCCTCCAAGGAAGCATGATCAGACGGTGACGTCACTCTCCAACTGAGCTCACCAGTGTGCGTTTCAGGCGGCTGTAGCAAACAATACGTTACGCTGCTGGCGTACAGCGTTTCAAAGAGGCCTGAGGAGATGAAGAGCTCCCTCTGCAAGGCATCTGACGTCATCCTCAACTTGTGCGCCTCTTCTGCTGTCTGCCGGTCTCGCATCGCAGCCCGAAGGGCGAGTTTTCCAGAGGTCCACCTGGCGCGTCACTCCCCTCCCTCTCAGAGGAGCAGCAGAAGGTTTTTTGTCGGAGGGCCCCATCACGACGGACGCGCTGTTTGGGACCCATTTCAAGGCCATGCTGGAAAAGTCGGATGGGGTGTCGGAGACTGTGCACACGCCTCCTCCCGCACCCCCGCGCCACAGCTGCGGCTTTCCGCTCCGCTCCACCGCCAGCCCCTCCCATCAGAGAACAGCACTACTTCTCATCCCGGCAACCAGCGGTTTCAGCGTTTCCCAGAGACCACCAACAGGTGTTGCCCTAGGACAACAAACCGCAGGGCTCACGGGGGAAGAGATTTATGAAACGACAAGAGTTTTTTTAAAAAACACGAACATCATTCAAGATTAAAATGTCTGTGTTCAGCCTGTCTGTCAGTTCAATGATCTCACAGCGGCTCCCCCTCATACATCCTCCACATAACGAGCTGGTGTCCACAAAGCAGGTTTTTTAAAAATAACACCTCAGCTCGATGAATCACTCAAAAAGCTCGCGTGATTCCGCAGCTAAGAATGAATGTGTTCTGCAGACCGAGTCCAGTGGTAAACCTCGCTCTCAACCGGCACTGCGCGTCGCTTCCTCGGACCGCACTAGCGTAAAACGCGCGCCCTCACGGCAGCGGAAGTTCTCATCTAAAGACGCCGTGTCTATGAGGGCACACACGCCTCTTCAGCGTACGTCGGCTCACATCAACGTAGATGAGAGCCCGCAGCCTGAGCAAGGCACAGAAGCGTTTTCAGAGCCTTTTCGTAAAAGCCTCCCCATAAGTTGTGCGGAGCGTGTCTCCGCGACGCACGATGGCAGTGGAGGCGGTGAGACATAACGCATCACGTAAACACGCGCCCACTCCCTAAGCGTTACGCGGAGTGGCAGCAAACGTGCTTTCTAGACAAACAGATGGATGCACCGTCTCGTCAGCAAAAGTTACTCGCTGCAATTGCAGCTCAACCCCCTCCATTCGGAGGAATTATAGAGACGACTCTGTCATTCCCAGAATTGATCTAGTCTCTCCACGCGGAAGTTCGAGAACTGCTGATAAAAAAAAAAAAAGTGATCTCCAAGGTCCTCAACAGGGAGCAAAACACAGGGTTTTACTCACGTTACTTCCTGGTTCCAAAACAGACCGGAGGGATGAGACCCATATTGGATTTGTCAATTTTCAACAAGACATCATGGAAAGGCGATTTCACATGTTGACAACCAGACAGTTACTGGACAACATTCAACGAGACGATTGGCTGACCTCCGTCAATCTGAAAGACGCCCATTTTCCACATTCCGATCATTCCAATGCACAGAAAGTTCCTGCGCTTCTCTTTTCAAGGGATTCAGTATCAGTACAACAGGCTGCCGTTTGGTTATTCCTCGCGCCTCGTACTTTCTCAAAATGTGTGGAGATGGCTCTTCAGCCTCTAAACAGAGCCGGGATGAGAATTTTATTCTACCTAGACGATTTGTTGCTGCTGACTCGGTCCTGACAGGAATCAGCAGCGCAGCCCCAGGTGCTGACGTCGCACCTGCAGAATCTAGGCATTGCCATAAACTGGGAAAAGAGCTCAGTTCTCCCAACTCAAATGATCGTTTATCTGGGAGATAAACTCGACCACCATGAGGGCTCGTTTGTCGCAGAAAAGAATTGAAATTCTAAGACCAGCTCCGCCACGTAAAACCCGGCAGAGTGGTAACAGCCATTTCCGTGATGAAGTTGTTAGGAACGATGTCGTCAGCTCACACAGTGGTTCCGTTGGGATTACTCCACATGCGGCGCCTCCAGAGATGGTTCGCTCGCTTGCGTGTGGATCCGGTGAGACAAAAGAGACGGATGATCGCTGTGCCCCCCTCCGTGGGAGCAGACCTCCGACACTGGGAAAACCCCCCTTGTTCTGTCGGAGGGAGCCCCTGTCAGCAGACCTACATCACACGTCCCAGTATTCACAGACGCGTCCTTGTCAGGTTGGGGGGGGGGGGGGTGCCTATCCCGAGCTGTAGGGGCGCTGTGGTTTTCCACACACAACAGCTCATATAAATGTTAAGATATGTCGCGCAGTTTTTGAAGGTGATTCAACATTTTGCTCCTGTGCTGCGAAATCAACATGTTCTGATTCACACAGACAAGTGACCGCAGCGTACATAAACCGGCAGGGGGGTGTGCGTTCAGCCCAAATGCTGCACTTGAGAGACAGTTGTTGTGTTGTGCACACCAAAATCTGCTCTCCATCAAAGCAGTGTGCATCCCCGGTGTTTTGAACAGAGGAACAGATGTAATGTCCAGGAGCGGCCCACGTCAGAGACTGGAGCCTCCATCCCTAGCTGATGGCTCAGACGTGGCAGAAAATTGGCCGAGTGACAGTGGACCAGTTAGCCGCACGAGAGAACGCGCAGTGCCAACTATGGTTCTTACTGAGCCCGCGGAACGAGCCACCACTAGGGGTGGACGCATTTGCTCACAGCCTGTGGCCCAAAATGCTTCTTTACGCTTTTCCCCCAGTCCCTCTGATATCACTGTTTCTGAACCGAATTCGGGAGGAGGGACTGACAGCCATCCTGGTGGCTCCCGAGCGTGTGAATGCCCCATGGTTCCCAATCCTTCATCGTATGTTATCAGGTCGCCCATGGAAACTGCCGTGAAGGGAGGATGCTCTCCTCCAGGCGGGTGGGACCATCAGGAGTCACCCGGAAATAGGCCCCCCCCCACACACACACACACCATGTAAATAAATTGAACCTATCCAATGTATTGACTCAAGACAACCAGCAGAGGATACTGGAGGCGATTAAACTGAGAAGAATCTAACCAGGAAATCCAAGACAGAATGGAAGGACAGATTATTCAGAATATTTTTCAATCATCTGGGAAACGCAGCCTGCAGCTGTATTGGACCTAAATAGGCCAGTATAGCCAGAGGGGTTCCTTACTCAAGAGTCTGAAAAGATGAACCTGTTCAATGCATTTTTACTACAGAGAGGTAGAAAATCTGATTATTGAGTTCAAAGATTTTTTAAGACAAATTTTCCACATTTTTTTTTATCTGCATGTCAGGTTTATTCAACAAAAGAGTGGAAATGTTAAAACTGATAAGTATTTTTCAAAAACATTTTCACCTCTTTTCAGGAGCAGTTCATGTACAGTTGCCTTCAAGTTTCTGGTGTTAATGTGTTTCAAACACAATTATTAACGCTAGTTTCTAAGATTTATGCAAAAATTGTTTATGCAAACTTGAGCACAATTTCTCAGCATTTTCTGGTGACTACATGCCACTGTTTGTTATTTTTTTTGTAATAATAAACATCATATGGTTATTTTTAGTTGGAAGGTTACATAAATGTTTGTTTATGTATTTATATAAAATACATAGCGGTTAGCGGTAGCGTTCGCTCCGCTCCCGTTTGTTGGGAGGCCTCCAACCGCGTGGTCGGCTGGACTGTGCTCCGAAGTTGTTTATGACTACTATGTGTGTGATTTAACACTGGTGAGTAATGTTTTTTTGCTTATATTTTGCCATTGGTTAGCAGTAGTGTTCGCTCCGCTCCCATTTACTGGAGGCCTCCAACCGCGTGGTCGGTTGGACTGTGCTCCGAAGTTTTCTTATTACGTAGCCAGCCGAGTTCCTGGCCTTGTTTTCATTGGTGAAGGCTAGTGTTTTTGCACCCTCTCCCAATCATTTTCTCCAACCTGACAGACTGTTGGACTGAGCTAGCGGTGCTAGCCTCTCTGAGTTCTGGCCTTGTTTTAATTGGTGAAGGCAAGCGTTCGCGCCCCCTCTCCCAATTGTCCTTTTTACCAGCTGAGCTAGCGGTGTTAACCTTTCTGAGTTTCTTTGCTGTAATTTTTTCATCCTGTATCTTGGACATAGCTGGCGGTGCCAGCCCCTTTGCTGGTTGCAGTTTTTTACCTTTATTGACTTGAAGTGAACTGCCTAAATTAAGGAGCATGAACGGCTCTCACTGCTGTACAGTTTGTGGAGCCATGCTCCAGACAGATGACTGTCACGATCTGTATCCTGCCTGCCTTGGTCATGACCATCTGCTGGAGGCCCCGTCAGAGAACCCCTGCATGAATTGCAGCTTCATGTCTTGTGCTGTGAGGGTGGCTCGGCTGGCCCAGTTTCGCCCCGAGCTCGGCGATGACCTCTCGCCTTCTGGGCAGGAGGTTCCAACTAGGCACGCGAAGCGCCGGACTGAGGCCGCAGTCTCTGTGGCCCCTCCTGGGAAGAGGCGAGCCAGGTCTGATATGGGCCTCTCCACGAGGGTGGAGCAGCTGTCCGCTGAATTAGCGGAGATGAAGTCCCTTTTTCAAGTACGCCAACTGGGAAATTAACCAGTGGCAGCGACCGGACTCTCCTCCCCACCCATGGCTGCGGAGGAAGATGTGCTATCCTTGGCTGCCTCTCGCTTTTTAGGTGAGGAGGAGGGGCATTCATCTCAAGTCTCAGAGATAGCTTCACTTTCTTCGTCTCGGAGCGCAGTTAGTGGGTCTGGTGACGGGTTGCACAGGCATCGCAAGCTCGCAGTGATGTGGTCATGTCTTCATGCCCTGACTCCATGGAGGAACAAAGATTATTTGTCCAGGGGTATCCCCATGGGAGTGGTAGTGTGTCGCAAGGAAGTGGTCACGACAGATGCCAGCTCCATGGGATGGGGTGCTGTGTGGCAACGCAGAGTGGTTCAGGGCCGCTGGGGTCAAAAGGACCGCTCCAGGCATATAAATGTGCTAGAGCTGCGTGCAGTGCACTTAGCACTCAGGCACTTCCTGCCTCACCTGGAAGGGGGGCATGTTCTTGTTCGGTCAGACAACACCTCTGTTATCTACCACATCAACCACCAGGGGGGCACCAGGTCAGCACAACTTCTGAGAGTGTCCAGAGAGCTCCTAGAATGGGCATCTTTTCGCCTGTCCACCCTGCGGGCAGCGTACTTACCAGGGTGACACAATCAGGTCACAGATTTTCTCTCCCACCAAGGGTCCACTCCAGGAGAGTGGTCCCTCCACAGCAACATAGTGCTGATGATCTGGGACCATTTTGATCAGGCAGAGATAGACATGTTTGCGACAGAAGAGTCGACTCAATGTCCCCTATGGTACTCTCTTACGGGGGCGTCGGGTGTGCTGGGCCAGGACGCATTGGCTCATGCTTGGCCAAGGGTCCTCCTATATGCCTTTCCACCCCTTTCTCTAATTTGGCCAACCCTTCAGAGAGTCCTCGAGGAGGGCCACAGGATGCTGCTGGTGGCTCCATATTGGCCAGCACGACCATGGTTCCCACTGCTACGAAGTCTATGTCAGGGCATCCCATGGTGTCTTCTGACCAGGAGGGACTTGTTGTCTCAGTTGGGGGGACTGATATGGCATCCCAATCCTCAACATCTCCGACTGTGGGTGTGGCCACAGCGAGGCTAGGACAGCAGCTGACTGGAGTTTCGAATCCCGTCAGACGCACCATCCTGGGCACCAGAGCACCCTCTACTCGTCAGCAGTACGAAAACAGGTGGCGTCTGTTTTCCCAATGGTGTTCTGATCACAACAAGGATCCAGTCTCCTGTACAGTACCCACCATTCTGGAGTTTCTCCAGTCTCTCCTTGGTAAGGGCCGCTCTCCTTCGACGCTAAAAGTTTATGTAGCGGCAATATCATCTAATCACGCTGGCATTGATGGCTGTACGGTAGGGAGCCATAATCTAGTCTCTCTTTTTCTGCGTGGTGCCCGTAGGTCGCACCCATCGACAGCTCCACGAGCACCAGGTTGGGATCTGCCCTTGGTTCTCGAAACTCTGTGCTGCCCTCCGTTTGAACCTCTGACGCAGGCGGACCTCAAGTGGCTTTCATGTAAGACGGCTTTTTTGTTGGCTATTGCCTCAGCAAGGAGGGTTGGCGAGATACATGCTCTCTCTGTCAGCCCCTCATGTCTCAGGTGGGGCCCTGATGGCTCTGGCATTACCTTGTGGCCAAACACTGCATTTGTACCAAAGGTGTTATCTCACTCTCACTGTAACCAACTGTTGAGGCTGGCATGTTTTCAGCCTACGCCTGGTGAGGGGTCTGGATTATTGTGCCTGGTGAGGGCATTAGAGGCATATGTTGCAGCTACTGCCGTGATACAACATTCAGACCAGCTGTTTGTGTGTTATGGAGGCCCTAGGTTAGGCTGTCCTCTTTCCAAACAGCGCCTCTCCCACTGGATCGTGGATGTTATCTGCCAAGCCTATGCTGCAGGGCACGGCCCCCTGCCAGTCGGCGTGAAGACACACTCTACCAGAAGTGTTTCCGCTTCCTGGGCTGCCCTGAGAGGGGTTCCACTGGAAGCAATATGTGCTGCTGCATCATGGGCTTCCCCAAGCACGTTCACCAGATTTTACAGCGTTAACCTGGCCACCCCTCATCCCCTGGGCCAGGTTCTTCTACAAGGGTTCTCTGGGCCTCCTCAGTGAGGTGTGTGCTTAAGATTCCTTGTGACATTGTTGGTATTAGTCATTCAGTGCTTTCAGCACCGCCCTCTGGCAGTCAGGAGGGATGAAATAAAACGAAAGTTACGTATGCAACTACGGTTCTACGAATCCCAGATGACCGCCAGAGCTTCTCTGTCACTCAGAATCCTTGCATTCTGCAAGAAGATTCTGTAGGAGCAGAGCTGCGGATGACGTCGGGCTATATAGCCTCTGATTGGTCATCCGTGTCACAGCTGTGACTCTGTTAGTATTATTACTCGAACAGCGCATGCGTGAAGGGAACATTCAGCGCTTTCAGCAATGCCCTCTGGTGGTCATCCGGATTCATAGAACCGTAGTTACATACATAACTTTTGATCTGGTATTTTTCCCGACACGAGGATTTGCTTCCAGGTGGCTCACAAACACTCACCTTGTTCCATCTCCACGCAGCTGCCAATGTTTATACCCACATGCAAACAGCAAGAGGTTGGAAGTGCAGCTCTCTGCCATCAAATGGCTCAGTTTCAACAGTTTTCAACAAAGGAGTGTGCAAGATGATTTCGTCTGTACCTTTGCAGATTCTCAGCCGCTCGGACAGTTTTGGATTGGCGGTAAGGCACTCCGTCATGACGTGGGGCACAAACACAAACTCTTCCAGTGTGGGGGACCTCTGTTGCTGCTGTCTACGAGGGGCCACTGTGGCATGAAGACCGGAGATCTGGACCCCACCGGCAACAATGTTGTCAAGGCAACGGTTTACACCAACGTGCACAGCTAGGGGTGCAGAAGAGAAAAAAAAATATGCTCAAAGTTACAGAATTATAGAAGGCAGTATCAATGGAGCTCATATTGGTTTATTTTGTTGTACATCTCATCAAGAAAGCATTTTATTCTGGGTCAGAAGAAGTACTCAGCTACGTTTAAACAAGACATTTAGTAAGTGTGGCATCATGCATACTATAACCTGAACAACAAGTTTATAGAAAACATCTTAGCTCAGATCTGTTAGAGTCGGGCAGTGTGGAAAGATTGTGAAGAGGAGAAACAGTTTATGTCCAGCACGACTGATGAGCTAGTGGCTAGTCTGAACACCAGCTAAGACCAAAGTGGATCGCTGCAATCTTAAATCAGTTCCAATCTCAAACGTTTTGTAGTCGTTCACACAGACACTAATGTCTGAAATCAGTTATTCAAGCAGAAATTATATTCAAGTGCCCAGGCTGCACCAGAAGTGCTACAGCTAGCTGCTGTAGCTATTTTCTACGTTAGAAAATAATCATAAAGTGTAAATAACAGCATAATGTGAGTTTGATACGAGTTAAAGTTTTAAGAAATGTCTGCAAAAAATGCAATAACATTTTTATAACTCAAGTTATTTTAAGATGGCAGCAATCCAAACGGTCTTGGTCGGACTAGCTTTTAATCTTGAACTCTGAAAATCTGACTTGAGAGTACAAGTTGGAAAAACTTAAGAAAATAAATAAATATAAAACAACAACAACAACAACAACAACAACAACAACCCTAAAAGTCAGAATTCCAAGTCCTCAAGTTACGAGCTTCCAAACCTTAAAACATGGCCGACATGGGCCTAAAAAGTTCCAACAACTGCAGTGATAAAAGTTTCATTACACTTTTACACAGCTTTGTCCACACACTGTGTGTGATCATGTTGCTACAGTGTTTCATAATGTCTGCTCTGACTGCAGCTGGAACACAGTAATGTTGGGTTTGACATCATTCAGAAATGTGAGTACGAGCTTTGAGCTTAAAGCGATAAACTCCCATTTCTCCAAATTTAGACTGTTCAGAAAAAATAAAAAGTTAACGATTGGACTTTTCACATAACTCCTCCTCAAGAATTTGTAACATATTATAATATAAAAGAAACTAGAGAAATGTCATTTCCTGTGAAAATGCAGCGAGATTGCTTTTTGCTGGATTTTTGCTGAAAGCTGCTGAAGAAGGTGAAACCATCTGGAAAGGTTTCATCACTAAACTGTTCATGTGAGCTGAACTCAAACAGCTGACGTTTGCTGAATGCAGGGAAAATAAAACAGCAGAAATGTGTAAAAAAAAAAAAAGCTGAAAGAAGCAGAGCACGGCTGAATGTATTACAAAAATCCAGAAATTAGCAAAAATTGGATACTGGAATTAGCAGCAAGAAGCTGAAATGAGCAGTAAAAGGTTGTAAACAGCACAACGAGTTTGAAGGATGTGGAGAACTCCATTCATTTTCCATTTTCATTCATTTCAAAAAGCTAAATAATTCAAAAAGTAAAAATAACAAATACTAAGAGCCGCAGCAGAAATGTCCTGAGTGATCCGGACGTTTTGATGTAAGAATTGTTGAAATAGCACAAACATTGTGGAACGAGTTACGTGCTGAAAACTGTATGGAAGAAAAACGGATGTCAATAGTGTGAATAATTTACAAACATGCACACTATTAAAAACACACAAGTAACTTCAGAGGAACATCTTTACTCTTTGGTTACAACATTTTGAAATCTGCCACAGTTTTGCTTGTTTTAAAACAATACTTTACTTTTACTTTATAATAAAACAAACCTTGAGTTCCATTCGTGTAATCGCATATTTTGTCCTGATGTACAGCTGGATCGATGCAAACTGAGCGGATTCTGGTTGGCAAGCGCAAACTTCGACCTGGCAGGCCGACCACAATCATCTGCAGCATGGTATCTAAAAAAGTCACCCAGTTTCCTGTCCACTGCAGCTTCCCACTGTCTCCTGGAAGAAACAGTCAGGCTAATGAGCAAACTAACTGCATAGAAGTCAAGTATAACCAAAGGTCAGTGCACAGAAAAAGATTACAGCTTTACAGTTACATGTTTTTTAAAATGATGCACTGGTTTTACCTGCATTGTTGGACTCCAGAATGCCCTGGAACGCCTTCCCATAGTCATAGCCACGAAGTCGGAGCTCTTTGTAAACATCATGCGCCTTGAGCTTTATTTTGGAGTCACCGTTTTCCACAACTTGCTGCCTTAGATGATTATGAAATGAATCCAGGGATGTATCCTCGAGAATGCTCACCTTACCTGAAATCACACGAAACACAAAGAAATAACAACTGAATGTAATTTAAGTGAACATCATAGACTTAAACACACGGCTCGTTTTTCTTGTTAATTTGGTGAAAATTTTAATGGAAGATATTTTTTTGTCTAGATTTTTCCACTTTATTGATTCCAATAATTCTAACTAACTGAGGACATAACTTCATCAAACTTGTTCCACCTGGATGATTTGGAATTGATTTTTAGGAACTAATGTTTCTGTGAAGGGCAGCACGGTGGTGCAGTTAGTAGAGCTGCTGCCTCTCAGCGAGAAGGTCACCAGTTCAAATCTTGGCCAGGGGACTTTCAAGGTGGAGTTTGCCTGTTCTCGCCGTGCTGCGTGGGTTTTCTCCAGGTACTCCGGTTTCCTCCCACAGACCAAAAACATGCATGTTAGACTGATTGGTAACTCTAAATTGTCCCTAGGTGTGAGAGAGTGAATGGTTGTTTGTCTTGTTTGTCTCTATGTGTCCCTGTGATGGACTGGAGACCTGTCCAGGGTGTCCCCACCTCTCACACAGTGATGGCTGGACATGGGCACCAGCGACTTCCCGTGACCTGAAGCAAGTCAAAAATAACAAAGTGCTCTGTGTCGTCATCATTGTATGTTTCTATACAATGATGAAATTAGTCTCTGCATTTAGCCCATCACATGAGCTTCCCTTAATCATGGAAGAGGATGGTGACACTGGACACTCATTTCTTCTAAATCTGGGTGTCAAACTCACAAAACGGGGACAAAATTAAAACATTTTTCAAACTAAAGGCAAATTTCAGACTCTACATTAAGTCAAATCAGATACCAACATCTTTTCTTGGTCACAGGTTCCTCAACAAGAGTTTGACTGGTCTCATTTGATGTTCCCTGTTGTGCTTTCAACATCATAATCAAAGATTACTGAAAAAATTCAAGAGACAAAAGTATTTTACGTTTCACATATCATCTTGGGGGGCCAGATAAAATGTCAACAAGGGCCACATTTGGACCCCCGGCCTCGAGTTTGACACATATGCTCTAAATGGATTAATTTACAGCTTTAACAAAGGTTCAGGTGTTAGATTAGATATTTAATGTTAAACAATAGGTCATTTGATCTGTTCTAGCATTAATAATTTGAATTAGTTGAGCTGTAAGTGCATAACCATTGTTTTAATAGATTTATGTTCCTTCATTTGAAGTCTAAATTTATGTCTGTCATTTTTACTTTTCAAGGAAATATAAAAAGTTAGGTTTTGTACTCGTAACAACCAAGTACTCAGATTTTAAAAGGTAGTTCTAACTCAATTGATAAACTGATGGGGTCCAACGGCAACATGCAAGTACTGTGACCATCTACGAAGGGCTGCATTTGTTGAGTGTGACTGGTACTTAAAGTTGAATCTTTGAGCCACTCAGTCACTTATAAAGTGGTTCCCAAAGTTGAGGTCAAGACACTATTGTTGGTCACATAACACCAGGTTTAGGGTCCTGAGATGAGCTCCAAAAATCAAGTCGAATAAAAAAAATCCTACACAGTATATTTCTCACTATAATTGTTACAAAAAATAAGAGTCATAAATAAGGGAAAAGATGTATAATATGTGGCTGAGTGGTTAGAGCAGTTGTCCTCCAATGCGAGAGTTGGGGGTTTGAATCCACCAGCAGTCACATGCTGAAGTGTCCCTGGGTAAGACACTGAACCCCTCATTGCCTCTGATGTGTGTCTCATCAGTGTCTGAATGTGATAAAGCTCTGATTAGTCTCTTTACAATGATTTGTAGAGATCTAGTAGAGTGCTGTATGAATGGGTAAATGAGGCACAGATTGTAGTGTAAAGAGCTTTGAGTATCTCCATAAGATAGAAAGGTGATATACAAGTACAGTCCATTTACCATTTATCTTGTCATGATTTAGCATTTTTTACTTTGTTAGCATTTTTGCATAATTCAGCCAAGGGTATTTGGGGGTCACAAGTCTTTGATTTTGGTATTTTGAGGATCAGAAGCTAAAAAGATGTGAGCTCCAACACCACAGGACAGACGTCTGAATGAAAGCAGTTTGAAATCAGACGTCTCCTTGCCACTTGCCTGAATTAGACTTTCTTTATCTTACTAGTAAAATGAGTCCAATCCTTTAAATACAGAACCGGATTAAGACAAGATGTAAAGACTACCCACCACTGACAACCAAGTTTCCATTTTCTGAAACTTCAAACTTGTTGGTGGCCGGCATGAGGTGCACCTCTAACTGAACAGAGCCTGTCAGGAACACAACAATGGGCACAGATCATTTCAGTTGATCACTTTTGAATTAGTCTAATTCTACTCGCCCATGTTGAGCTCTGATGATCTTACCAGTCTTAGGCAGGATGGTAGCTCTGTGGATGATCACATCCTCAAAATTAATAGGAGTCGTTTCCATGATAACCCCATGACTTCTCACCAAGGTGCGCCAAGCCAGCACGAGGTAACCCGTCGCGGGGTAGAGAACACGTCCATCAATGCAGTGTTCAGTTAGATAGTTGTCGTCTGATTCTGGGTTTATCTCTGATACACCAAGCACAACAAGCGTGTTCAATCAATGACATTATGAACTTCTTTTTAAGTTGAGAACTGTGCTTTCATTTCGATGTATATTAAATACCAATGTTGTAGATGGTAGCCGAATTAGATCCTCCTGAACCGTAAATAAAATGTTCTGCTTTGGGAATATCCCAGGTTTGGGCATGGTCCCACATCACTAACGGGGAGATCATCGGGGTACCCACTGGGACAGGATAGTTCATCGATGGGAACAAGCTATTGGAATCCAAGTTGATGCTACAGAGATGCAAAACATTTTTTTATTAATGAAAACATCTTTTGAAAAGGACTATGACACAGGTGCTTTCCCCATCAATGCAAACCACCCCAATAAAATAAATAAATGAGTAAATGAAGACATTCTGAGGCATACTCACCCGTTCATGTAGATTTTGCCAATGTGCGAGAGGAAGAACTCAAGGTTGTTGTTATGACCTCTCTTCATCAGTGGAATGATGGCACATGATTGCTTGAGGCTACGCTTCAGGATGGCCTAAACATAAAATATTTTAAAATTTAACAACAGTCACACAAAAACTGTACCTGTATGGCACTCTTCTCCTAATTTGTTGATACCACAGCCATAGAGAATCTGTTGAACAGCTGGATTTAAGGTTCATGAGTTCAGGGAAGAAACAAACTAAATGTCTCAGTGTCAGATGACTGCGCTGGACCTCCATTTAATTACAATTTATTATGGAGAAATATTTGCCTTATTATGTATGTTGGTTTGAGTAATACTGAGTAAAGGTCAGGAACAGTGCCTTTGGACTAGCAGACCAATATGTTGGCAACTCTTCTTTAAAAGGAGGGTGATATAGGAATGATTATTTTGAAGCTTTTATGTCAATTAATACTTATACTCACTTTTGTGTGTTAAAGTCAGGCCTGTGCTGCAGATGTGTTTTGGAGTAATTAAAGTTCTCTGGGGGATGCTCTAACCAGAAGATCGGGCCCAATCTTAAGGTTACAGTGACCCAGGTTTTGAAGGACATGTTTTTATGAAGCCATCGCTCTGTTGCACAGACTGCTTTGATGATGGGAAAACAGATTTAATTAAATCTGCCCTCCTGGCAACCATCAAAACTTGTTTTGCACTGCTCTCACGCGATCAGGGAGAGGTATATAAGAAATGTAACAAACACAGAGAGTCGGAAGTCTTGTGTGGACCAGCGCGCGCGGTGCCATACAGTAATTGATGATGTGATTCTTCTTTACCTG